TTTACATCTGTGAACTCATTTTACATCTGTGATCTTATTTCACATCTGTGATCTTATTTCACATCTGTGATCTCTTTTCACATCTCTGATTTCATATTTATGTAAAACTATGATGATCTTCTTATTGTTTTCTCATTGTAATCTCGTCATCGTAATTTTCTACTTTATGTTTTTTCTTTTGCACAAGTGAATTGAAAATTTTGTCACCTTGAATCACTATTATATTGTAAAAGAGATTCAATAGAGATTTTTTCTATAGTTTTTTATGTCTTAGAGTTTCAGTGTGGGTAGAGAAAAAAGGAATCTTACTCCATCTTTTTTTTTTCAAAGCATAGTTAACTCGTTTATTTAGATAGATAAAAAAATAAAAGTTGTAAAAATTACTAAATATAAGAATATTTAATATGTTATATTAAATGTTGCTATATAATGAATTATAATCTTTATTTAAACATAAATATAATCCTTTTTTAAAATATAATGAGTTATAATCTTTTTTTAAATGTACATTTAAATCTTCTATTATTATTTTTTTTTCCTCTACATGTCTGTTGTTGTTTTTTTTGTATAAATGATTGTTTACTTAGGTTTAATTTAATATCAAGATGGGTTTTTAAAAAATGATTTTTTTCTCTGTTTAAACCCCATCCTCATATTCAATATACCTAAACAAAAAAATCTGTCCTTGTATTCATTATATACATCAATAAGAAAAAATCCATTTTCATATTCAACATATATATACAAAAAAAACCATGTTTATAAGATATGTTAAATATGAGAATGGACTTATTTTGTTTAAATATATTCTATATAATAATGAACTTTTTTGTTTAGGTATATTAAATATGATAATGCATTGTTTTTTGTTTATTTATATATATGGTTAATATGAGGATGGATTTTTTTGTTTAGACATATTGAATATAAGTATAGGTTTTTTTGCTTACATATATTGAATATGTTGATGGATTTTTTATTTATGTATATATATGGTAAATATGAGGATGGGTTTTTTGTTTAGATATATTAAATATGACGATGGATTTTTTTGTTTAGGTATATTGAATATGAGGATGGATTTTTTCGTTTACAAATGGTAAGGTTCGAAAGCGTCGAGTTAACAAAACGTTTAGAAACAGAAGATGGTAATGAAGTTGCGGAGGAAGAGGAAGAAGATTCCTACGAGGTTGAAACACTTTATGATGGAATCATAGAAGTTAGCAATAATGGAGACATAAATATTGATGGAAACATCGAGGTAAGAAAAAAAAATTTTAATTGATGCTGATGATACTTTTTTAATTATTCTCAAGTATTTTTATTGCAGTTTTTTTATTTTGTTGCTTCAGATTTTTTATTTCAATTTGCTATTTTTATTATTAATTAATAAAATTATTTTGTTATATAATTAAAATCTACTATTAATAGAAATTAGACATAAATAATCTAGCTTTTTTTTTATCAGCTTTTTTTAACCTAAGGTTCCTTCATTTTTTAATTACTCACTGAAGTGTTTTTTCACAAAAAAAACTTACAGACCATATTTAAATCTAGCATAAATTTTTATAGGTGACCTATGATCCGACATTGGGTATTTTGTGTGCTGTTAACAAAGAAAATACGTTATATGAAAAAGAGGTTTCTAATGAAGTTGAAATAGAATGTGAGGTCCGTGATGGAGATGAAGATGAATTAGTACTGGAGAAAGATAAAGATTGTACGGGTAAGCAAAGTATACCCGAGAATCATAAAGATTGTATGGGTAAGCGAGGATTTAAGAACAATATATTAAATGTTGTTGTTATTTTTTTATTCAACTTTCTTTCCTTATAACACCTTTTTTCTGTAAATCTTGTTTTTATTTTAAAAGTGTAACTGTTAACAAATTTAAAACTCAATAAATTTTATTTTATTTTTTTAAATTTTTTTGTGCTATATTAATGCTTAATAATTTTATATTGAGTTTAGTTATTGGTTTTATTTTTTAACGCTTTTTAGATACCGATATTGCAAATATCCATAATGAACAGTTATCAAACAACATTGAAACAAAAAATATTTACCTACAACCTAAGCCCGCTGGTTTTGATATGTCTGTCATGGTAATATTTTTATGTAGTGTTTATATCCGAAAATGTTTTGTGAAGTAAATCTATTTAAAAGTTGTTATTTTATTCAGGCGCAATTAGTTGCGTTATCATCTGGTAAACACTCTGTAAATAATGTTTCAGAAATTGATAATGCTTCAGATGCCACAGATCTAGTTTCGCATATTTATAAACAAATATTAAAAGCCAGTAAAACTAAAACTGAAACTTCGGACAATTTTGAAGATGAAATGGTTTTAGCTACTAGAGGTGATCAAGATAGACTTATGTTTGAAAAAATCACAACCCAAGAGTCCGCAATCAACGACGAAGAGCATGCCTCTTCTAAAGAAGAAGGCGATGACGTGGGCGATGAAGAAATTGACGACGATCAACGAGAAATAATTCAGCAATATTTAGACTTACAAGAGGAAATCATTTCCAAAAACGATAATTTTGTTGTAAAAGAAGAAATAGATTATATTAAATCTCCGAAACGTGAATTGGAATCGAAAAACAATTCTCCACATAAACGTTTAAAAAAATATAGTAAAAGTGACGATGTTGAACGTATGGACGCATCGCATGTTTTACTTTCTCTTAAAACATCTGATGATTAGTTTCATTGTTTTTAAATCTAATTATGCCAATCTTTTTGATCTTTGCTGTTAAACGAGAAGTGCTTGCCGCTATTTTTTAATGTGTGCGAGTATTGAATCTTCTTTACTAATGAAGCGTAATAAATTTTCTTCTTCATTTAATACTTAGCATAGAAAGTTTTAATAAGACATGATTAGTTTTTCACTGGTTCAAAGTTAGGCAAGTTTTGTAACTCGATATAATTCATTCAAGCGAGTTCATTAACTCATAATTCATTTTTTAAATTGGTTCAATATATTGTAAATAAAATTTATATTATTAAATTTAAACCAAAGTAAATGAGTATTCGAATTTTCTCACTTAATACATTTTTTTTAGCTTTAGTCTAAGTCACTTAATAAGACTTCATAAGTCCACACTATAAAAACTCGTATGATAAATCCCGCGTGATAAATTCTGATAAATTATTTTAAAGATATTTCAAAGTAAATGAAGTCAACTTTTAGTCAAAAAAAAATTTTTTTTAGTATAATTGTTATATCTCTTATTTGTGTACCTTTATTATTATTATTATTATTATTGTTATTATTATTATTGCTATTATTGCTATTATTATTGTTATTATTATTATTTGTATAATTAAAGTATTGCTGGTTAAAAAATAAATAAAAAATGAAGTTGAGATAATTAAATGAAAATAAATAAAATTCAGCTAATTAAATAAAAATAAATAAAGTTGAGCTAATTAAAAGGATCATAAGGAGCCAGATAATTTTTTTTAAGATTCAAATTAAAAATTTTTAAGTTTTTAACACCAACTTAAATAAAAATCTATGAAAAATAAAAAATTCTATGATTCTTCATCATGATTTCATAAAGTTCAAAAATTTTGCGAAAAATTCTATATCTAATATAAATTAATTATCTTACAAAATTATTCTGATGCGTTCAAAATACTTTATATATAAAGTATTTAATTTATATCGTTACGTACTCGGTGTAGTTAAGGCGATTTTAAAATGTTATAGCGTCTGTTTGATAATTTTTTAACTACGAGATATTTCCCTTAAATGATCAGGTCTGTGAATTATAAAAAGACGAAAATAATTAAAATTATAAATTTTTCGGTTTCATAAAATATATAAATGTTTGTTGCAAAAAAAACCAAGATAAAAAGATTTTTTTTTAAAAAAAAAAAAAAAAAATCTTAAAATCACAATCGCTCGTCCAAATTTGAATAAAATTTTAAATATTTTTTTTTTTGTGAAATGATATGATCAGTTCTGATCCTTTATTGGCAATTTTCCATAATTATAAGCTCTTTCTTTGTCGGAATTCTAATATTTTTGTGAAAATTGATAGAAATATTGTATTTTGACCACTATATATTGTTAATAATATACGTCGGAACTCGGTTAAGACATTTTTTCAAAAGATTTTAACAAAGTTCATGTTAACGCCGATTAGTGAACTTGGTTTAAAGACTCCAAGAGGGTGCTCTTTAAATTCACTATTAGGGGTAGTAAAAACGTTTTGAAAATTATATAAAAAATAGAAAAGTTTCTTTAAAATAATAAAAATACCTGAAGCAAAAAAATTATATCATCTAAAGCTCTTATTTGAACATAATACGCTGATAAATTCATGCTAATTTCAAATAAAAAAAATCGAATTGTTTGTAAATCTAGACCGAGTAAAACACAAAAAGTTATAAAACAACATTTTTAGCCCAAACTTTGCAATGTTAATGACACATATTTAACAACATTTTGGCAAAACTTGTCACAATCTGATATTGCCGAGTGGGGCTGATTTGTAAAATTACTCCTTTGACATGGAAAAACCCTGAACTCCACTCGCACTGAAACTTTACAATCAGAGCTGTAAAATGTACTCATATCAAAAAAAGCAGTATTTCCACTGGTAAACATATAGTAGTACCCTTTTTCTTTTTGCCACGGATCTTAAAGTTTTCCGCCAAGAATGGGTTGTATTCAGATGTAGAGTTCAAGCGTTCCAAATAACGGAAAATCAATGTAAATTTAAAGAAATGCTTTTTAAAAACAATATTTTTTCAATATGCCAAATAGCATAACAATATAAAGTACCTGCTAGCAAGAAACTTAGTGGTAGAAATTATTTGGAGTTGCATTATAATAAGATGTAAGGACAAGTACCAATGGGTACATATACAGTGGTACCAGGGCCGCCGCGAGGGAGGGGCCACCGCGACAGTTTGTCCCGGGCGGCAGATATCTAAGGGGCGCCAAATGAAATTTAGGTGTCTAAAAAAAAAAAAAGAGGTCCTTCATATATAATATAGGAAAAATTTGATAAATAAGGGCGCCAATCAGGATTGCTGTCCCAGGCGGCGTGACAGCTCTCGGCGGCCCTGAGTGGCACAAAATGTTTCAGATATGGCACTATTAAGCATTGTGCAAATTCAAACCTCATTTATGTTTATGTCAAATTAAAATGTTTTACAAAAAAAAACCTGGTGACTATAGCCTGGAATAGCCCCAAAAATTGGAACTGTAACAGGAATACATCAAAAAAACTTTGCTCTCAGACAAAATGTGAGACTAATTATTTAATAAAATAATGTTTACTGTGTTATTCAAAAATTAAATTGATCAGGTTTTAAATTTAGTCAAGTAATCTTTTTAGAGGTCTAAAATTATGAAATGTACTATAAAAAAAAAAAAATCACTCAACGTCAGCAAAATAATTTGAAAAAATGTGTTTTAGGCACATAGGCTTTTCATGATTTTTTTTGACTGTTCGTAACTCGTCCGTAAAATTTTGACACGCGCACTTTTTATTGCAACATGTGAAACTCAAAAATTTAACTTGATAATTTTAAATTTATTAAAAAATATACTTTGTATTTCATGTATTTTTACGTTCAAATTATCTATATATTATAAAAATATATTGGCAATTAAGAAAGATTATATTTTTTGTTAAGTGATCTTCTACTAATTTACTATTGCTCTGTTCTTTTAAAAACATTAAGCACTCTATTTTGTAGAATACATTTTGAAATTGTTTATATATATATATATATATATATATATATATATATATATATATATATATATATATATATATAAATATATATATATATATATATATATATATATATATATATATATATATATATATATATATATATATATATATATATATATATATATATATATATATATATATATATATATATATATATATATATATATATATATATATATATATGTAATATATATATATATATATATATATATATATATATATATATAAATATGTAAATATATATATATATATATATATATATAAATGTATATATATATATATATATATATATATATATATATATATATATATATATATATATATATATATATTTTAATTATTTTGAAATTCTTTCTATTTTTTTTTTTTTTTAAATAAAAATTTTGTTTGTTCTTAGTTTGATTTTCGTTTGACTTATTTATATATATGTATGATATACAGTGGACCAAAAAGACTGCCAGGTTTTATGTCGTGTTATTTAAACCTTTTTTTTATTTCAGAGTATTTGTTTTATTATAATAGAAAAAGTTGTTTTTAAAATCAAAGCTAAGTGCTCAGGGTCCCAAATGGAGCAAAGGGGAAGATTGAGGGTCTAAGGTTGTTTAAACCCATTAAGGTTTAAGATTGATTAAAGAAATTTTTCTTACATTTTATTTGTTTTTTTTTGCTCTTTATATTTAGTTTAGCAATTTAGGTCTGCAAAATCATTATTAAGGTTTTATTTTTCATTAGCCAGGTACAGCGCCCCCAGGATCCAATAAAAAATTAAATTCTTGTATCTTTTTTATTTTTCAATATTTTTATTTCAATCTATTTAAATAAATTGAACAAAATTTAAAGCCATAATAAACAAAGTTATTTAAAATACAAATATAACCAACATATGGAACATAAACCTACTCAACATAACTAACTCTTCTTCCATTAAAGTCAATCACAAAAGAGAGGAGTCTTCCACCATATTCTTTTTTATATTCTTGTCTTTTGAACCTGTTCCATGTTGGTTTGAATATAGAATGAATTGATTCTCCGCGTTGTCCAGCAAACCTAGATAATCTACAATAGCGGTATTCAACAAAAGGTTGCACATGACAACACGAAGAAGAATGTTTGCAATTTCTTGAGCATATAAAAAAGAATTTTAAATTTTAGTATGGCTTTTTGATATCCAAACTCACACCAAACTCACATGTTCTACCAAAACAAGAATCTTTTACAACCTTAAAATCTTTCAAACATTGAACAATTGGAACAAGATCAAGAAACTGGATAAAACAACTGTTTTTAACTTATCAACACACTTGAGTATCTGGTTTGAATTATTTATATCCCAACCTCTACCTTGATACCCTCTCTGTAGAACACCATTATTTTTCAAAAATTTATCAAATCCAGGCCAAAGATCCATTAATAAACATCCTAGTTAAATTAAAATACCTATTAAGATATCTATTTCAGGGGAGATATTAAATGTTGGATTAAGGTATCTGCATCTTCAACAAGGTAAAGAGTTCTTTGTTCCCAAGGCGATTTGTGTAAATAATAGTTTAATGTAAATAATATAGTTATATTATAAACGTCTCTAAGCGTCATATATTGACATAAGAGATTTCCTTCGCTAATGAGGCAATTAGAGAATTTTGTATATAGATCATTATAACGTTAGAAAATACCTATAATATCTCTCTTGGTGAAATATTATATGGTATAAATAATCATGTACAAACTTATAAGAGAG